CTCAACGCGCCCCATCGTGAGAAGCGAACAAGAGTGTAAGGGTATTATATGCGTTTGGCAACCGAATTCCATCTTAATGTACGCTAAGATGAAAAAATTCAGCAACAACTTATTCGATATTATTACTGAATAAGACCCCTAAGCTGAAATAATTTCGCTATTTTTGCACGAGAAGAATAAACCCTGGGGACGGTAAGACGTGTCGATAAGATACTCTGATCGTCCTGCTTGATCCCCTCGCTCCTTTGGGCCTGGAATTCCGATCTCACCCACCTCCTTACTGTCATGTGAACACCGATCTCAGCCTATTCCAGGTCGTCAATCTAGCCGTGCCAATCTCAAAGATCAGCGAAAACGTGAAATATCAAACCTACGAAAGAGTGAGTTTAACTCTCAATCCTCTTCGTGGTTACAAAACCCATGTGTCTTGATTCCAGACCAACAGAAGTTTGTCAAGGGTGATCCATTGTTCGCCTATGCCAACATGATGCGTGCAAAAGAACACGCTAAGCAGATCTCGCAGGTGTCAGCAGTACTCTTGGAGACCACGAAACTACTCGTCAAAGGGTTGGTGCTCAACTCGTCGTTCTATTTCTCACTGACAACGAGTATGATTTTAGTGAAGCGCTGTCAGAAGACGAGAAGCTCCCACCGCTTGAGATGGACGTGCTACAACGAGTACTGCCCGATGTAGACGTATCCACCTTTTGTGAATAACTTTACGGCATTCCTATCTGAAGATGGGCAGTCGACCAACGATGAATGCCTGCCGAGGATGCTACCATGCGATCATACCACAAAGTGTGTTTATTCTGGTGGCACCACGTTTTTTTCGTTTTTTTTTTCTTTTTTCCTGATCTCTGAGCTGTTCTGGGACCAACTTGCTAGTTTTTTTTGGCACCCGCGCTTTTGTAGTTCAAGCGCTCAACTTGTTTGATATTTTCGTGCATAGGGCTGAAATGGGGCAGAAACCTAGTAAGGCTTCTTCTATAATAGATATTTTAAAATTTTGTTGAACCCTTTTCAGGTACCGTACCCACACCGGTTGGTGTAACAACCTGAAGTTCCCCGGTTATGCAAATGCGTTCTCACCATTGCGACACTTGCTGCCACCGGTCTACGAGGACGGTTTTGATGCACCACGAAGTCGAGCGAGGAGTGGCAAGCCGTTGCCGAATCCGCGACGTGTACGATTATCGATTTATTTTCCCTTTCCGTCACCATTTCTATCGCGTAGTTCATTTTTCAGATTTCAAATGTTGTCTGTGAAGATCGAGATATATCGCATGTGAAATTCACCCATATGGTCATGCAATTCGGTCAGCTGATTGACCATGAACTCACCCATTCACCCACGGCACGTGGTCCAAACGACGAGATCTTGAATTGCACGAGGTGAGCCCTTGCTTTTTGGTCCGGTGGGTCGTCCAGGGTACTGGTTAGGAGGTCCATGTCCAGGACGCGTACGATACAGCAGGGTAGTCCCTAGGAAGTTAACTCGACATGCCGCAACCTTTCCGCTATAAAGGTCGCGACGCTCTTCAAAATTAAGGTTTTCCGGGGGACAAGGTAGTGTAGACGGCAGTGGACAACCCTGTGCCATTTCCGTGCCAGAAAGTGGTAAGGTAGGGTCAGAAAGGAGCAGAGGTAGCTAAAATAACTCTGCTCGCGTTGTCGCTACCATCGTAGCTCGGCGTTGTCTCTCTCGTTGCTACTGTCTGGTCTTTGTTGAAATCTTGTCCATTTCTTTCCTTTCGCTCCGACAAAGAGGGCTCTTTAGAAGGGGGTTTCTTTAAAGGCGAGTCAATCACAGCATGCGTTTCTGTTTTTCACCGTCTACTATTTTTTTCGGTGGTTTATGGCGAAATCTGCCCTTGAGTTTATTCGCTCCGGTCTGAATGTCGCGCACGTGACACGCCTGCGATTCGCCGCAGCCTGGACCTCCTAACTAGTCACTGGACTGTTCCCTTGTTACAAACATCGCTTATGCTCATGTGTGTCTCTCACCCAAGAGAGCCTAACATCATAAAACTGTTAGTTAAGGAAAGCAGGCGGTATACAGTAATCCCGAGAACCGTCTGTTTTCCTGAATTCATAACTTGGTCGTTTCATTCCCCTGCTTTCAGATGCGACTCACCAGAAACGATATCCGTACATTGTATGCCCATTCGAGTTGAGCAAGATGACCCATTCTTCCCAACCCATTACCCGAATGGCGAACCACGATGTCTGCCATTTGCCCGATCACTGCTTGGACAACTGAACCTCGGCTACCGTAATCAGATCAACCAGGTAACGCTCAGGCTATAGTGACTTTCACTAGAGCTATGAGGCCATAAAATAAGTCAAATATTGCTTTTAGCTGACTTCTTACATTGATGGGTCTGTTATCTACGGCTCCACTGAATGCGAATCGAGGCAGCTGCGAATGGGAACTCGCGGGCTTCTCAATTTCACTGATTTCGGTGAGTTATACGCATTGTCGTCAAGTTACTTCAACCAGTAGGCTAAGAATGTGACATTATATAGGTCAGGTTTACAATAGCCTGAGCTAATTGATGGCTTTTGATGACATTAGCGCGGGTGTGGGGACTCCACAGATGTGGATGAATGAATTCCGTCCTTGTTTAGGACAAGGTCAATTAATGTTGCCCCAAGGAAACCAAGAAAAGGACTGTCGTTCATCTCCCCGAAATCCATGCTTCGTGGCCGGCGATGAGAGGTTAGATTCTCGAAATATTCATTTCAAATAAATCAAAGAGTTCGAAAATAAAGAGTTCAGAAACTCTCATCAACCTGGATTGACGGTAATGCACACTTTCTGGATGCGTGAACACAATCGTATTGCTACGAAGCTGGCGACGCTTAACCCACAATGGACGGACGAAATTATCTATCAGGTTATTCCTTGCTTGTTTTGGGGTGGAACGGGGTCGGGTAAACAGCCATAGTACAAGGGCCTGCCCTTCCTGAATCGTCGCAATCAGTTGGGGCGGGGTCAGGAGGCGTGGATTGAGCACATTCGCGGCGTCTTCTACCAATGGTTGTTTTCTTCCCGAATCGATCACTAACCGATCACTACTGGTAGAAAATGCAGCGAGGGACGGGCTCAAAGAAGAGAAATCACTCCACCTCTCCTAACACCGTTCTGACTGATTGCGGCGATATCAGCTAATTGCGTGTGATTATCTCCTTAGAAAATGATTTCTATGAAAGCTGAATGACCCTAATCGAAACCCCTAGGAGAGATTTTTTTCTCTTTCAATAATTTAAGATTGGTTTTCAGAAACGCTGTCCGCATTGTTGGTTGCCGGCTGCCCAGCACATATATTTTCCGAATCTCCTACCTAAAAATTAATCGGATCTACGACTACTGAATGCTCAGGGCTCGTACCATGAAGACGGCTATTTACACTGGTAACAGTTTCTTTCATAGAGAATTTGTCCTTAGCGTGCTTAGCCGCATCGCGTTATGGCTTTAAATGGTTCACAACAGAGTCGGTCCACACGTGAGCAGGTCGCTACGCATAGTTCGCATCCCTAACGCCTCTTTATCACAACGCGCTTTGTGCAGAGGCCACATACAACTTCTCTTGTCGATGCCCTAATGAAAATTAGTAGCTAACGTTACCTGCAGCCGCGCTTCTCCGGTGATCAGAACTGTGAAACGCGGTATTGATCGACGGACGGAATTTTTGTACTATTATTGCTATCCTCTAGTTCCGGCTTACATGTCTCACTCTAGCGAAACATGTAAACCTTGTGAAGCTGGAACAAGGTCGTCAAGCCATCATGGTGAAAACCTGTCAACTCGAGAAGAGGCTGTCTAGATAGGTCGACACGTCGATGGGAAGTAGCAAAAGTGCAAAATGCCCCCCCCCTCGGCATACTGCGCCCAATAGGACCATAGACAAGGATTAGCCTAGGTTGTTAGGTTGTCTTCACGGGTCCCCAGCTTTGAGCCCGTATCCCCTCCTCCTACTTTTTGCACGGTGTGCACAACCCTTACAGTTCGTTAAACATTTTGGATTACTCTGAAAACTCTGAAATTCTTCTTTCCAGGCTACGATGACACGTGTGATGCAGCCATTTCCCAGCCATTTGCCACAGCAGCATTCCGTTTCGGTCATACTCTTATCCGACGAATGTTCCCTAGAATGAACTACAATTACAAGTGAGTTTCCTTGAAGGCTGTAAATCTTTAGTCCACCAATCCAGCGTCCAAATGAGAAGGATTACAATACTTACAATTCTCATGGGCAATCATAAGGCTGTCTTTCAGCAGGTTCTGAACTTTTTAGCTATCACGACGTCCATGCATTCCGTAAACACGCCCTCTATGGACGTCGTGATAGTATTGTAAGCTGTGTAGATCGGTCACCGGGCAAGTTTTCGCAATGTGAGCCATGACTAGGAATCTGCCCTACTACTAGTAAGAAGTAGCGGAGGGATGTAGGCCGGAAGTCGTGTTTTGCTATATTCACCCTCGCGCCTTACTGCTTTGAGCGCCGCGCGACGCACAAGTTCGGCGCTCAAAGGGCTGGTCTCTTGGTTATGTTGAGAATAGCTCTTCTGTGTCTTTTTCCTGCAGCTCTTTTGTATGCCTTTTTCCTCATTTTCCTCCGTCCATCCCTACAGTTTTCCTCTGTTTCCGCTGTATTCTCCAACTGCTCTCTACTGTTTATCTTTCAGGAATATGAGCGAACCAATCGATCTTGCTTCTCACTTCGGACATGTTGGTCCATTGTACGATCGGGAAGGAGGAGGTGAGTTTGAGCAGCACGACTCTGTGAATCTATCGTGAAGGATTTATGA